CCATCATTCAGCACTAAAATCAGAATCTTCAATAGAAATTTCAAGAAAGATCTATTGTTTGTGGGTTGAAACTCTAAGTCATACACAAGTATTTGTTTAAAGCTGTCTGCGCGCATTACATCGCATATGTTTTCTGACCTACTTTGGGAGAGAAGAAACCAGAAATTACCCAGTATCATTCGAGTTAGGAGAAAACTGAAAGCACGCAAATGTGAAACAAGACAGGCCGTGGGTTGGAATATTCAAGGCCAAAGAAAGGTCGTTAGATCAATGAACACATTACATCAAGATATAAAAACAGACTACAAATCAGTGAATCATGATTGAAAATATCTATTAAGTAGAGCCAGGGATATGGGTGGTCTTTACTTCATTGTAGGCATTAAACGTTAGTTATTGAATTCGTGAGACGATTAACATTGGATCAATCAACTTTATTATGCATATAAATTCATAATAGGCAACGATACCTCAAATTCAAGCACTATTTTTCTTGTTATTAGGTTTATTCAAATGTCTGGTTTGATTCACCGGAATTTTAAAAAAAATTTCTACGTTGTTAATTGATTATTAAACGAAGATTTATATAAGAATAAACAATATCAGTATAAATACAAAAACATAGTTTGTAATGAAAAACAAAGAGCGATTACATCAAGATTAACGACACTTTACAAAAGCATATTTAAAAGAAACTAGCATAAAAAATACTTGAGACTTACACATATTGAGTATAACATCGTCTGATAAACTGGTTGCAACATTTGAATAATTATTTGGTAACTTATTATTACAGACATATTTTTCGAAATTATGACAAGGGTTCACAACTACCACTGAAGGAACTACATCATTGCAAACAGCGACGCCACAGGGATTAACACAAAAAAAAAGAAAAAGGAAAAGTTACGAAATTTAAATCTAAGCACAATCATAAAATAGAACAAACATTTGTAGGCATTAGAAAAACAATAGCAAAAAAGTGTTAAAACAAATGACAGTTCAAGTTAGTAACAGTATAACAAAACAATGAAATGAAGAACCTGAGGAATAACTACGAGTTTTCCAGGGAACATGATGAGAGTTTAAGACAACGTCAACATGTGGTTATATGGAAAAAAAGGAACAGTATGGAAAATATAAAATAAGGAAATTAGAAAGATTGCAAAGTTTCTATTAAAGACAAATATATATATATAAAAAAAATCATCGAGAAAACCAACCAGGATCAGTTTCCAGCACAATCGGTATTTCTTCGGACGTAGTAGGTGTAGGTAAGACTAGAATGAATAAAAGTTGGCCGAAAAAATATGCAAAGGTAATTGGACTGTTACCATAGTGAGGAAATAAAAATATTTCATTAGAACTCAAAACGTAAGGCACTAAATTGTATGCAGGATACACCCTGAATAAATATGCTGCAAACATGTCGGTCGAAAGAGTATAAACTTCAGATAACAGAAATTCTATTGCAACAAAAACTTAAAAGAGAAGATGATAAAACACTAGGAGTTTTGATGCAAGCATGAGAGA